AAATGATTTACATACCGTTCATTCCGATATTAAGTTATGGAGGAAAAGTATATACGACTTCCGTAAGAAAAAATTGCCAACAATTCCAAAATCACTGGAAGAATCCAAATTTCAATTATTTAACTTACGTGATACTTTTAAAACTAATACACAAGAACATTTTTACTACATAGAAGACATTTCTAATATAGTTTTATTCACTTGTCCGACTAATATCGATGTATTAAGTCGTTCAACTGATATTTTTGCTGATTGCACATTTTCGCATTCACCGAAATACTACGATCAATTTTATACAATACATACGTTACAAAATGGTTTTTATATTCCTTTAGTATATTGTTTTTTGACGTCAAAATCGACTGACGTTTATGTAGACATGTGGCGCACGATTGCTAAATTATGTTTAAAGTTKACAGGCATAAATGTATTAGTATCATTAGTCGATTGTAATTTTCATTTCGATTTTGAAAAAAGCGCACACAATGCTATTAAAGAAGTCTTTCCAAATAGCAAAATTATGGCCTTTAGATTCCATTTAGGCCAAAGTTGGTTAAGAAAAATCCAAAGCAATAACAACTTATTAAAAGAATACAATTCAAAGTCAGAAGTAGGGCTTTGGTTAAAATGTTTTTTCGCTCTTGGTTTTTTACCCGAAAATTTAGTCTGCGATGCCTTTCCGTGTTTAATTGCAAATGCTCCTACCAATGACTTTGATTTTACGGATTATATATTTGACAATTATGTATGTCCTGATGGGGTTTTTCCATCAATTGTATGGGCTGGTAAACCTTCAGAGGAACCTAGAACGACCAATGGGCCAGAATCATTCCACCGACATTATAAGTCATAGATCCTTCTATTCATGAAGTAATTAATATATAATGTTAGACATCCAAAGTAAATCCTATTTAAAAATTAAAAGTATTAAAGAAAATCGAATAAACAAACCTCGAAAAGAACAATAAAACAAATTGAAATTTATATTGCAAACTTGGACAAAATTAGAACAAAATGAAATATCTATACTTGAATATTTGAATGTAATGGGACCACAATTTTGTAATTTGTAATATTTTTTTTTATACATATTTGCAGGATATATTACCTATAATTTAAAAAAATATATGAATAGTAATACATATTTAGACATATTAATAATAAGAAACGATTTTTAACCAAGCCAACAGTTTAATTTTGTTGACAGTCCTAAGCCTGTAAAATTGGGAAGGAAAATTGCTAAAATGTATAATATTATAATACAGTCGAACTTTACGAACTTCAACTTTGAGTTTACCACTTCGACTATATTATTAAAAAGTGTATTGGGCGCAATCGTGTTGCGTTTTTTGAATGTAAAAAGGTAGAACGGGCGCAATCGTGTTACAGCCATTAATCCACCACCTTGTTTACTTGCCTTTGATACTACAGGTATCTGATATAAATATTCTGCAAAACATAAATCTTACCTCAGACTAATCATATAATTTATAAATTCACTTAACTACGCTTACTTTTATAGAGTGCAATATACATTTTTAAAATTAAGTTACTAACACAAAATTCAGTATCATTACATTGATGGTGGAGTTCTTATATTTATTCCCCCTTGCTCTTGCAATTACTATTATTATTGGTGTGTTTAACACAATATATATGTGTACATTAATTCTAGGAATATGCGTCAGGTGTGGCAGGCAGAAAGAGACGTAGCAGATGCCGATCACAATGCATTTTGTCACAGATGCAACCAGGRATCAGCGGCGTTACAACCTGCCCACAGCAAATGAAGTTGCGGCCGTGTTTGTCGGTGACGACGGTCGTCCGCCCAGAAACCTCAATCTGGTCATTTACGACACGAATCCAATCGACCCGCAACACAGGATGCAAAACATACCTGCGGGTTAGTTAATATCCATTTCACATAACTGCCTAAAATTAATACCATTAGATGATTTGGTTAAACACACAGATATAAAATAKCAYAACCRACCTTAACTCTTTCATAGGGCCTCTGCTCTTTCACTTCAGTTCTTACTTCTCAATGCAGTGCTGTATTAAAATTTGCTTCGTTGCAGCATAGATCAACATACATAATTAATCCTTTTGATAACTGCACTGCGTTATAATTTCTGTATTGATAATAATTAGGTAAATTTATTTTAATTTAAAATTCCATGTACAAATGTAAAGATTGTAAAGTACACACACACACATATGTCTTATCATCAATCGAACCTATCCTTAAATTACTTCAATGCTCACTTAATAAGTTAACTGTATACAGTATACATCAAACATAGTAAAAAGTCAAATGTAGTGCCACACGAACTGTTGTGTTTAGTATCATAAACATATACATAGTATAAGTATACACAAACAAACTACAATTAATTCTCACACTATTCACAATTCATTGTGTTGTTGTTCCTGTAGTGGTCTGTTGTATTTATTGATATGTTTCATAGAATTTGGAACTTTTCCACATGCCTTCCTCTTGCTGTTCTACAAAATATGAGCTTAATTTACACAGCTCCATAACCTAACTCTCCAATGCATTTAGTAATTCACTTGAAATAATATATACCATTTATTACATTCCATAAGGGTCGTGTCATGCGGATCCGATGTTGTATCCGCTGTTGTTCCCAAGCGGAGAAGCTGGTTGGCATTTCGGTATGAGACAAGAGGGCAACCGCCGGAAGCAAGTCCGCAATCGGAATAGTATCAGGGAGTTTGAGGTGCTTTCRTTTGACCATACTATATTGTGGAAATAATGATACGATGCATGTACAGTTCAGTCTTATACATGCTGGTCGATTTTCGTTGCAGCAGTATGTGTGTGACCAGTTCGAATGGAATCGAACAATCTGAACTATATCCGCACGAATCAGCGAGCTCTCCTCGCTGATGCGTACCAAGGGCTCATGGACCACGTGAATCAACAGCACCACTTAGACGTGGCCGATCCCATGGCATGAAATATCCTATAGTATGTAACATATTAATTATTCTAAAACAACATTTTTGTTCATTACGTTGTGCTGTTAATTATTTGTTGTGGTTATATTATTATATTATTATACTTTGTAAAGTTTAGTTAAAACCATAGGTTGTAAGTGCACTCTTGACTTATCTTGTTGTTTGTGTTTCACTAACTATTATTTTTATGCAATAAACATATCTAAAAATGGCATAGACTATATTTATTATTATTTTATTAGTTGTTAAAATATTGGTTTCGATCCAACCACATTAAAATTTTACGCCTATCGCATAGCCAACATAATTTATACCACAACAGTGTGTGAACCATGACAATCATAATAAAAATAATTTTAAAAAAACAAGACAGATGTAAAAAAAAGAAGTTTTTATTCATCTGAAAAACATAAAATAAATTCAATACTGTTATAATTATGTCATTAAAAGAAATTCTCCAATCGCCAAATTACACTGTTTTTCAGTGGCAGACACAAACTCATCCATCACGGTATTGAGCTGCATATCAATTAACATCTGCAAATAATATAGTTCGTTGAATTAGCATTTTATTATAAAAAAGTAAAAATAACAGTAAAACAATGAAAAAAAGCATGGCGTTTAAAGAAATTATCTGATTGGCAACTTACAGTGGTCCTTCCACAACCCGAAGCGGGGAGATGGAGTTTCATTCAGTTCCTACAATTCATATAGGACTAGGATTCGGATTTAATTAAGGCTAAATAAGAATATTTTTGATAAACTTACGGAAGATGGCTCGGCGTCGGTGTCCACCGTGGTTCCCGAGGCCACGGTGGTATCATTTGCAACGGKTGTCGGTTGCCGTGGRTTGACGGGGGGCGTCATCGCCGGCAATCGGCCCCGATCCGACCGACTGCGGTGCGGTCCACGTGTCCGCGACGACGGACTGCGGGGCGGCCGAACGACGAGGGTTGAACGGCGTCGCGGTGACCGCCGTCGCGGCTCATGGCCTTTACCAGGCTTGGAGGGGGCTAGAAATATAAGAAAGAATAAACATGATTTTAATTTTTAATGAATATAAACTCACCGCGACAATCGCCAACCACGTGGCCATATTTATGGCAACGGTAGCATCCTGAAACACGAGGTAGACGTTAGTTATTAGTGAACATTTATATCATGTARYAAGTAATCTACTTACTKCGTTTTAYATCCTTGCTGCGGTCAGCAGTGGYGATTGCGGCGGGAATTGCCGCATCCACTGAATGGCCGAAGTGCAACGTGTGCAGAGACGCAACGTTTAACGTATAATTCTGCACCGTCACACTTCGGCCATTTATTGCTCCGCYACCGGTGTTGGTGATTTTCTCCATTCTAAAATGAAAACGAAATCATACACAGAAAAGAAATAATTCCCTGACATCCTTTAAAAATAATTTRTCAATACCGTGCACCCGGCGATTATAATATTGAAATTTAAGTTTAAACTTATTATTAGACGTATCACGACTCGCGAGGTACTTTTTACATTTGGTTAGCAAAAGATATTTCGTATAATTTGTGTAATGGTACGTCGTACGTGGTATATGATGAAATATTTTTTATTTTATTTAACAGAAAGCATGTGGTGCGCACAAAACACTTATGTTATTGTTATTATATTCACCGATAAATACGATGTGCGGCGAACGTAGAAAAAACAGTTAATTAAGAGCGAAGAATATAATATATTATAATATATGTGTACTTACGTATATCTCAACTCTCAAGACGGTGAATGACAGAATGACGGGGAACACTATCAAAATGACACAAGTGTCGGAGAAGTGACATGTAAAATAATCAAATAACAGTTAATTGTYTAAGAACGATTTACAACGACAATAACAAGAGTTACAACGCAGGTAACCCATGCGGGTAACGGAATGGACAAAAATTACAGTGTGGCTAATTATTATATAATTATTATATCTTTATTATTCATTCGAATACAAAATGTATTGAATATTTTCATATGTGGCCCACCACCGGTCGACTTTTAATGCCCGACTCTCAAATGAGTTAATACAAGCTCGAACACGGTTTTCAAATATTCCCGCCTTCGTTGGATTACCACGATATCGTT